GAATAAAGCCTCTTGCTGTTTGCATCTGACTTGTGGTCTCGGTGTGATCTCTGGGCGAGGGTCTCTCCAGAGGGAAGACTGCCTTCGGGGGTCTTTCAAACTCATCTACATCAGAAAAATGTCTACAATAGTCTGTTGTATCCTCAGTTCAGGAAAAGACTCCTGTCCATGGACACATGACCAAACTGTTATTTTTGGTTCTTGTGTTTGCTGTGTTTGAGACCTTAACTCACAGTGTTGCTCTGTCTAGCCCAAACTCATCCATGTAGACCAGGCTGGACTGGAAAACACAGAGTTCCACCCACCTGTTTCTGCCAAGTGCTATGATTAAAGATATGCACCAACACAGCCTTTCTAACTGTTCTTTTTTGTTTTTCAGCCTGTTGACAGCCAGTTGTGTGACTGTGGACTTCTCCCAGGAGGAGGAGCAGTACCTGGACCCTGCTCAGAGGGCTTTGTACACAGAGTGGCTGTTGCAGAATTGCAGTAGTTTGGTTTCTGTGGGTGAGAATAGTTTGTTTGCAGTCTCTCTTGCTCCTCCTCAGGGTTCCTGGGAAAACTAGTTTGCATGTGTGTGAGCTGTGTGTGAAGGAGTCTCACACCTCACAGAATAAAGCAAAATCCTCAGAGGAACAAAGAAAGTTGTCATGAACTGTTCTTTTATTGTGAGTCCTTTTCCAAGGTGTAGGCCTTCCATCATATCTGGCCCTGATAAATTCAGAACCTCATTAGTGTATGATATTCTCATCCCAATCATTCAGTTCCATTTCTGCCCCTGAGTTTTGACTGAGCTGTGATTGGAAGTGGGATTCCAGTTACATTAACTGAAAATGCTTTCTAAATATTTTCAGTATTCTGACCCTGCATGACAATTGGGAAATTACTTGTAGATTCCTCTCTTCATCTACTGAGCACAGTATTGTGTTAGAAATCTGGGTGCTCTCTGAAAAATCTCTTTGTCTGTGTCTTGTGCAGGGCTCACTGATCACCCAGACCTGCTCACCTGTGTAGCAGAACAAAGAAGCCTGGAAGTTGGAGAAAGAGGAAACATTAGCTAAGGCTCTAGGTATTTGGAGGGATTGGTGAAGATTGATTCCAAGGGGTTCAAATGAATGTGGAAGTGGGACATGAAATAGCTTAGAAATATTTCTAGAGACTTCCACTGAGAAAAATGTCACAATTATTGTATTGCAGGTATGACAACAGATTCTACAGAAGTATTCATACTAGGAGGCAAATAAAATTGTATTTGACTAAGCATGTGAGTGATGCTGTCTTTTCTCCATGCACATCACTGATCATGTCTTCAAACCAATATTAATTTGCTTTCATTTCTATGATCTTAATATATTATAAAATGATGAAAACTAATACCTCTAGGTTTATTTATTATTTTAAGAGATTTTATATTTTGATATTCTAGCACATTCACTACCTTTTAGTGTTAATGTTTCCATTTCTGAAAATAATGCCAGCATAGATTTATAAGAAATCAGGAAGTGTATTTACAGACTATTAAACTCCATCTGTACTGTCTTCCCATGGATATTTCCTGTTGTCTGTGGTCATGACAATTCCAAATGGTTTCTATTGCTGTAATTGTAACAGACGGTAAGATCACCTAAAAGTTGGATCCTCTTAGTATTTTTCGACTCTTTGCTGTTCCTTTGTACTTTCAGGACTACTTTCTATATAATATGCAAATAGAATTGTAATGGGAATTGCTTAGAGTTTTAAGAAAACCGACCTCTGTTGTTTGAATCTTAGATGGTGTTTTAATTAAAAAAAAAAAAAAGAAAGAAAGGAAAAAAAAAAACATAGCCAGCTATCAGGGTGAAAGCGGAAAGATCAGAGAAGCAGAGCAGCCATCCAGTACTTGTTACCCCTATGAATTCCTCAGCCTAAGAGAGTTCCTGTTTCCTCACGCCTTCTATACCTTTGTCTGCACTGCCGTATTACTTCCTGGAATTAAAGGCATGTGTGCTTCCCAAACAAAGACATGAGATCTCAGTGCTGACATTAAAGGTGTGTGCCACCACGGCCTTGCTCTGTTTCCAATCTAGTGGCCGGCTCTGTCCTCTGAATCCCAGGCAAGTTTATTACGGTACACATTATATCACCACAGTCCTCCTCCTCGGTTGTCTTCTTGTGTGTGAAGAGAACTTGAGACAGTGTGACAGTTTTCACATGTTTTTTGTAGTCTCCTGTTTTCTGTCTGCTGTGGATGATGTCTGCATCCAGGTTTTGTGACATGCACCTCCTGTTGACAAAAGAACATTCTATCTAATGGGCTATTTCATCATTTGCTAATAATTTATTCTGTATTTTGATACTTTTGTCTTGACTTTTCTGTCACTATTATAGTTATGATCATCAGTCTTCTTTACTGCTGTCCATAGTCATGGCATTGTTTTAAAACACTCCTTCTTTCTCAGTATCTTGTGTGTATAGATATGAAATGAATTTTTGGTAGAAAATATATGCTTTAATCTCAGCTGTCATTTTTTTCTTTCTTTTTTTTGTTAGAAGGCTGTAGTGTGTTTACATCTCTTGCTTATGGAACATTATCAATTTGAATTTCTTTTTTTTTTGGAGCTGAGGCCCAAACCCAGGGCCTTACGCTTGCTAGGCAAGTGCTCTACCACTGAGCTAAATCCCCAACCCCTCAATTTGAATTTCAAGAAATTACTGAAAGAAATGCATCTGTTATTGTTTAGGAACTTGAGTGTGGACATTGAATAGGCAGAATTGGAATCTCTGTACATTAAGTTTATATTATCTTATGATCTACACTGTAGAGCTTTTTATTATGTACATATTGGCCCAGTCTGTTCAATCCATTTGCTTCTTCATTGATTGTATTATTATTTGCTCCCTTTGTAAGTTTTCTTTGACAGATTCTGGGTTTTCATCCGTTGTACTATAAATAGGTAGCTAATAAATGTATCTGCTGTGTAGACTCTCTCTTCATACATTTAATTATTACCATTTCCCTGGACATTTTTAACTTTACACAGTACTATTTATCAGTTCCTGCTCTTCTAACAAGTGTTGCCCCTTTGTGTTGCTCTGCAGGCTCCACTGTTTCAGATCATAAGTGAAGGTCTGTGATTCATTGTATAGTAGGAGAGCTTGAATTCAGATTCATGTTTTTATATGCAGATGATACTTTTCCCAGTGTCACTGTTTGAAGAGACTATAGATAGCTTCTGCAACATGTGTTTGTGGTCTTTTGTTGGGATTCACATGGTCCTTGCTATTGGGCAGGTTCTGAATCTGCTGCTGTAGTACATTGGGCTGTTTGTCTGTCTTCTCCACTCCCATGATGCTGTTGGTTGTGTGGCCCTGCAGTGTCATCTGGAATCACACCAGGATGGTTCCAGCATTGTAACATTTCCCTAGGGCTGCTCTGTACCCAGGGAATTTGTGCATCAATACAATTTCTCATTTCTCTTTACTATTTCTATGAAGTATGTTGTGGAATGTCCAAATATGCAGTTTGAACTGACTATATAAACCACTTTCAGTAATACTGTAAGTTTCACAATATTACGTCTTCTTCCATCTGTATAAATCATCTTTCAATGTTCTAGTTATCATTTTCTTCTGTTTCTTCAGTGAATTAGTTTTCATTGTAGAGATCTTTCATCTCTTTGGTTAATTCATTCAAGGGAATTTTATTTTGTACTCTCTTATTTTTATTTGCTATTCAGTTTTCTAAAGATAGATTTATATATTTTATGTATATGAGTGTTTGTTTCATGAATGGCTTTATATCATGTGCATCCTAAAGTTAGAGTTTGGGTTTGTAAAAGAACAACAGGTGCTTGTAACCCTTGAACCATCTCTCTATTCTGATATTAAGTTTATCATGTGCATAGCAATAATAGAAAATGTTAGATTCTATTGATTATTTTTATGTACATGATCCAAAATCTTGACTTTACTGAGGTATTTATTTTTTCTTTAACTGCTGTTGTATATTTGTGTATATTTGTAAATATAAAAATACAACCTACTCAGTCTGTATGTTTTCAGGGATGTACATTTGGTATTGGATAAACACATGCTGCATTCTTCTCTGGGAAAGATTATTTTACCACATCACAGAATCCTTTAGTGTTTGACTAGATTTGAGACATTATGAGCTTTCTCCCTTGTTAGCATGTCTCTTTTTGTTGTTCTTGTTCACCTCATGTTAGGAAGCCATGCTTGTATGATTTTATGCATGTAGCTTCTCTGGCATTTTTAGGAAACACAATGTCACAGAAGACATCCTGTTCCTCTGGCTCTTACACTATTCCCACCCCTCTTTCTCAGTGATCTCTGAGCCTAAGGTGAAGGAGTTGTGGTCCTTATATGTCGGTTGATACAGAGTATCACAACTCTGCATTTTCACTGATTGTGGTTTTCTGTAACAATCTCCATGTATTGCTAAAAGAATCTTTCTTGATGAGGTGTGAAAACTACATTTATTTGTGTGAATAAGGAAAATATTCAGAATGTAATTAGGGATTATGCTGATTTTGGTAAAATAGTGATTGTAGTTTCTCCTCCAAGATCCATGACTTCACTAGCCCTAGGGAAACTACCTAGGTTTCCAATACCAGGCATGATTTCCCTCTTGTTGAGAGGGTCTTAATGCAATAAGATGCTGTTGGTTACCACCAAGGTCTGTGTGCCACTCTTACACCCTTAGGGCTATCATGCAGTGCAGATCATTGTTGTGGTTCATAGGTATCACAGCTGGGTAGGACTGTTTGCTTACTCCCTCCATTGGAAACTTGAATGTTGCCTTCTTGTACCATGAAAACTAGTCTCCAGGGAGGAGGCTTTAAGGTCATTACCATCTCTAGTCCTCTGGGATCTGTGTCTGAATTGCATGGCTTCTTCAACAATAGGGACTCAACATCTACCTCTGTGAGGCATCCATGAGCAACATCAATAGGCTACAGTGTTTTGGGAGTCTCTTGGACAGCTGTGACTATCAGCTTCAAAGCAGGCTTCTGATGCCTGGAGTTGTGGTCACTGCAGTCACTCCAGGTTGTGTACTCACGTCTGAAGATTTGGAGCTAGGAACTTCCTATGAGAGAGAACATGCAGTGTCTGTCTTTCTGGGTCTGGGTTACCTCACTCATATGATCATTTCTAGGTCCACCCATTTAGCTGCAAAGCTCATGATTTCAATTTTCTTAACAGCTGAATCACATTCCATAGATTTATGTACTGAATTTTCACTATCCATTTTCAGTTGAAGGACATTTAGGTTGTTTTCCTTTTGTAGCTATTGGGAATAGAGCAGCAATGAACAAGGGTGAGCAAATAAATATCTGAGGAGTTGGATGTGGAGTCCTTTGAGGGTATTCCAAGGAATGGAACAGCTGGGTCATGTGCTAGGTACTTATTTGAGGATTTGTTTAGTTAATTGAGGATTCTCTCTATGGATTTCCAGAGTGGCTAGATATTTTTGTTTGTTTGTTTTTGGTTTTCTAGACAGGGTTTCTCTGTGTAGTCCTGGCTGTCCTGGAATAGCTCTGTAGCTCTGTAGACCATGCTGGTCTTGAACTCAGAGATCTGCCTGCCTCTGCCTCCCAAATGCTGGGATTAAAGACATGTGCTACTGATGGCTAAATATTTGGTTGATAGGGTTTTCATTCCCTATGTTTTGGCTTTTGATGTTGCTGGTTCGATTAATGGTAGTATTTTTCTTCTCTTTGAAAATTTGTGATTTGCTGTCTTGCCTATGGATGATTACTTTCCAGTTCTCCTGTATTTATCTATTCTTGACATGAAATTTATAATTTCCTAGCCTGGCAGTGGTGGCGCACACCTTTGATCCCAGCATTTGGAAGGCAGAGGCAGGTAGATTTCTGTGAGTTTGAGGCCACCCTGGTCTACAGAGTGAGTTCCAGGACAGCTAGGATTGTTTCACAGAGAAACCCTGTCTCCAAAAAACAAAACAAACAAACAAAGAAAAAAAGTGTTATTTCCCATGTTCTCAAGGATGATTCCTCTGACTCTCCTGTGTCTCTTCTGTTTCTAATTTATTATCTGCAGTGCTGCTTTAGTGAAATCAGTTGTGTTAACTCCGGACTATCTTGAAATGCACTTATGTCTCCATCAATTTAAAGAGTCTATTTTTCTGGAGGCAACAATATGTTTAACAGTTTTCTCTCCAATCTTCCTGTGTCAGTCCATGATTTCCTGGATTTGGGATCATGGACTGGACACCTGGTTGTAATCTGTTGTTTGGGTCTTTTCATTGTTCTTTCACAGCTTTCAGTATTAATTTTTGCTTTTCCTTTTTGACTCCTTGTATGAAAGGGCAGCAAGCCATCGTTCAGTATTCCTGGAAGAGAAACTCAAAGAAGAGAAACGGAAAGCAATGGCTGATTCTCCACTAAACATGTCCCAGGTCAGTGGTCATGTCCACTATTGTTCTAGAAATGTTATATTTTGAGACATTGAAAGACTCTATTTTTTGTTTCTGATAATTCTTTTTAACTTTATTATAAAAAAAAAGTTGCACTGTTCATAACTGCTTAGCCATCTCTCCAGCCCCCAACTGCACCCAGCTTTGACTCATAGTTTTTAACCATGTTTTTGTTTGTTTTGTTTATTTCCACAATAAAATCCTTCTTTTAACTACAAAAAAAAGTTGCAAAGAAACAACAAAAAAATTCACATACTGAAATTAACCATTTGTACAACTCAATGAACTTTGTGGTTGTTTTTTTTGTTTTCAAGACTGGGTTTCTCTGTGTATCTCTGGCCTTCCTGAAACTCACCTTGTAAACTAGGCAGGCCTTGAACTTACAGAGTTCCACCTGCCTCTGCCTCCCAAGTCCTGGGATTAAATGTGTGTGTCACCACACCCGGGAACTCAATGAACTTTTATGCCATTACAGTAGTCATTGGGAACTATAGCTCTGGAGCTTCACATTTTATTTTACATGTTCACAATTGAATGTACTCATCCACCAACAAAAACCAAAAAGCCTGTGACAGAATTAGAAGAAGAAAAGCAATTCTCTCCATATCCTTTTTCATAACTGTTGTTCATTACCTGCATTCAGTCCTACCTCAACCCCTGATAATTGTTAACCTTTCTTGTTCTCTTTTCTCTATATTCTGCTTTGCCCACATGTATTTTGTTTCCCACATATGTGTGTGTGTGTGTGTGTGTGTGTGTGTGTGTGTGGCTAGGTTCTTCATATGAGGGAAAAATGTGGTTTCTTCTCTCTGACACTGTATGACTGCATTTAATATTACATATTTTGAGTCCATTCATTTTCTTGCAATTTTTTATTACATGTTTCTCTTCAGCTGAATAGTATTCCATTTTATGGGTATACCATTTTTATTATCCATTCATCTGTTGATAGACAATTAGGTTTATTCCAATACTTTGCTATGGTGAATATGACAGCAGTAAACATGGGGTGTACATATTTCTACAGTGGGGTATGGAGTTCTCTGATTATGTTCCTAGGAGCGACATTACTGGGTCCTACAATAGTTCTATCTTCATTTTTTTTCAATAACCTCCAAACTGATTCCCACAATGGCTGTATTAATTTACACTCTCCCACACACACATCAACAATTAATGATGGTTCTTTTCTCTCCACATCCTCTCTAACACATATTGTCAGATTGGTTGATGACAGCCATGCTCTGCCTGGGGTGAGCCAGTATTTCAAAGTAGGTTTAGTTTGTTTTTCCATAAGGGAATTTTAGGGATCCTGAACACTCTTTGCAACATTTATTGGCCATTTGTATTTCTCTCTTCACAAAGTATCTATTGAGATCATTTACCCATTGGTTGAATAGCAGTTTTATTTCTTTGGAATTTAATTTCTGTAATTCTCAGTAAATTCTAGATATCAGCCTCTATCCAAAGAGTCCCTGGTCAGACTCTCCCATTCTATGGTGGGTCTGTGTGCTCTGCTGATTGTTGCTCTTGATGCCCTATCTGTTGACACTTGGGTTAGTTCTTCTGCTGTTGGGGTTCATTCTAATCAATAAATCCTTGCCCATCCCAATATCCTCATGGGGATTCCCTGTGTTTTCTAGGTTTCTGTGTTTCAGGTTTTAAATAAGGTTTTTGATCCAGTTTTAATGGATTTTTGTATAAGGTGAGAGATACAAATCTAATTCTATCCTCCTGCTGGATCCAATTTGGCCAGCACCATTTGTTGAAGAGGACATATTTTTGTAATGTACTTTTTGCCTCCTTTGTCAAATATTAAGTGAGCATCACTTTCTGGTTTTCTTTCTGGATTCTCTATCTAATTCTGTTAGCCTCTTGTCCAATTTTATGCCTGTACCGGGCTGTCTTCATGACTACAGCTTTACAATACATCTCCTGTGGCACTTTTCTCAATTCTGCTCCCCACCACCCCCCTGCTCCCATTTTGTTTTGTTTTGAGGTACACATTGCTATGGGATGTCTTTCTGTACACTGTGAATATATGTTGCTCTCGTTGGCTAATAAATAAGCTATTTTGTCCTATGGAAAGGCAGCTTAGAAACAGGCAGGCAATCCAAGCAGAGATACAGTGAAGAGAAGGGCAGAGTCAGGAGACTCAAGCATACTACCCAAGGAGCAAAAAGATGCCAGAAGACCAGTAATGTCATGGCCACATACAGGAATAGGAATAGATGAATAGGAATGGGTTGAGTTAAGTTATAAGAGATAGCTAGCAAGAAGCCTGAGCCATAGGCTATATAGTCTGTAGTTAATATAGCCCTCTATGTATTTACTTGGGACTGAGTGGCTGGGGGACTGGGCAGGAAACAGGAAAAACTTCTGTCTACAAATGGCGCCCAACATGGGGCTTGAACCCATGAACCTAATGCTTCCCAGAATTGGAGAGGTAAGTGTGACTTGTTGGTGCCTGGCCATGTTGAAAAGCTGAGGGGTGGAGCCAGCAGGCAGTGCGGTCACTTTCTTCCTAGCCACACAGTTTAACATTTTAGAATCTCTCCTGGTAAGGCAAAAGATTACAGATATGCAATAAGAACACATTCTGGAAGAAACTCTAAATGGGTACAATATGTTTAAAGATATACATAGGTTTGGGAGAGTAAAGGAAATGTATAGTCATAAAAAAAGAAATACATAGTTTTAAAATAATAAAATAAAGTTCTCAGAGAAGGGAATAAAATAATATTTAAAAAATGGGCCACATTGGGATGGAAGATACACAGAAAGTCTAGATTATGTGTATTATTATGTTGTCTTTAAAGTTTTGACTGCTATGAGATATTTGATTATAAAAGCTGCTGGATTAAACCAATCTACATATTTTAAAAACATCATGACTCCAAAATTTAAGTCAAAAGATATGCCACTTTGAGGGAGAGTTTATGCTTTTATTTCCACAGGAAATAAGAGGCTCTGGATTCATTCTATGTTAAAAAAAATCAGATTTGATCAATGAAGACCCCTTGACATCCTGACTACAGACATGGAAAAATGAACCTAAAATTACTACAAGACAGATGATGTATATTTTATCCGCTCAAACACATAACAAAAAATTATCTTTGAATGACTAATGTACAATGCACAATCTGTACTTACATTGATGCAGATATGTATGTTACCTTTAAGTTTAGGTATTTTCAGGATGAGATGACTAGACACCAATGAAAACAAATGGCCCAGATGACCTAGCATCTCAAAATGTCTGTCAGCAGTTCAGAATGCCTCTGTTGCAGTTTTCTCTGAGCTCTGTACTCAAAACAGGTTCAAGGCTGCTGGCTGAGATGATCCTGCCTCACAGACTACTCTAGTCAGGACTTGACCATAATCTAAATTTTCTTAGGGTCTCCCAAAGATTACCAGTGCCCCCAGTTAGCAGGAAATAGCCTAGAAAACTATGCCCACATTCCAAAAAATAGATTATGGATGAATGTCCTTGTTTAGGGGGTTGGTTACAAATTGTTATTGGTCATAATCAATCTCCTTTTAAAAGAGGAAAGGGGGATATGATATAGAAAGGTATGATATATAAATAATAGAATAAAAGGGTAGATTATTGAATCTACTTTAATCCAAAAAAAATCTGTTAATCTTACATATTTTACAATAGTATGGATTTGGTTTATTGATACAAATTTAAAGTTAATTTTGCTATACTGTATACATATTTCTACTCTTGTTTAAGGTATTATGTTTATGCAACTCATTTTAAATTATAAAATATAATTAAGAAATACAGATTAATAATCATCTATGATGATCAAACATAGTCATGTTAATTAAGTTTTCTAAATATAAATAGGTAAATTTCAATTAGGTAGATAATCTTCAAACACTTCAAAGACCTACAGAATATGGCATTTAAAATGTTTTTTAAAACTTAAACTTTTCTGGACAATGAGACATGTTTGCTCCTGGCATTACCAGTTTACTTCAAAGAGAAAGATAGGCATCAAAGACACTTCATATGGAGTTTATCTTCTTCTAGGCAAAATTGGCCATTTAGACGAGAAACTGCTCTTGCATGAACTGTTTGACAATATGTTATATACACTGCACATGCAGCATCCATGGAAAAATGACCTTTAACCTTTGCCAAAACAAGGTCTGATGGTCCTTCTGGGTCCCTGCTTCACAGAAAATACTACCAAACATTCTGCAGGACACAGAGGAAAGTGATTGATAAACTTTGCCAATAGGCAAGTCAATCCTTCAAATTTCCTGCTTGACAAAAAGTCTGCCAGAGACTCTAGGTCTGTAGACTAAAAAGGGATGCCCCAAATTACAGAGGAACTTTGGGTGACTGTCAAGTTAGCCAGATATCTCTCTCATTTCTAGACTATTGGAAATTGCTTACAATGCACTTTCTGTTTACCTAGGTAATATTATATCCTTGTGGGGTCTTTGATGGAATTAAAGACTGGATAATTATATTTTCCTTGGTTACAATAAAAGATAAAATATATTTGAAACTTAAGACTCACAAATATAGGGTAGATAATGAAATGTTTTCATAAATTTTGCTAAATACTAAATAAGTAATTCTTGCTTGACAACTATTTTGTTATATATAATTTTACTATACTAAAATTAAAATCTTCCTTTTTGATTAGACAGAAAAGGGGAAGAGCTATGGGATGTTTTTCTGTATGCTGTGAATATATGTTGCTCTCATTGGCTAAAATAAGCTACTTTGGCCTATGAAAAGGCAGCTTAGAGGCAGGCAGGCAATTCAAGCAGAGATAGAGAAGGGTGGAGTTGGGGGAGACGCCAGCCCACCACCCAAGGAGCAACAAGATGCCAGCAGACTAGTAACACCATGGCCACAGGGCAACACATAGATTACTAGGAATGGGTTAAATTATAAGAGCTGGCTAGCAAGAATCCTGAGCAATAGCCCATACAGTTTGTAATTAATGTAAGTCTCTACATGTTTACTTGGGAATGAGCAGCTATGGGACTGGTTGGGATGCAGGAAAACTTCTGTCTACAACACATCCCATATCTACCTATGACCTGTAATTTGGAAAATATTTCCTCTGTGACACATGAACAACAACAACAACAAAAATGTTGGGGCCTGATAGCTATTGCCTCAAGCCTTTAATCCCAGCACTTTCTTGGTTGAAGCAGGCAATTCTCTCTGAGCTCAAGGGTAGCCTCTTCTACCTGGATAGCCTCTTCTAGATCCAGGATATCCAAATTCTGTCTCAGGGGAAAAATAAAACTGAAGCCCAATTGCTACAGAGAATGGACTATATCCTTATATCTTGTTGAGTGAGGCCACATGTGCTGTGTAGGCTCCATTTGCAGGATCTGTGCCATGCCCTTGAATCATGCTTATAAAAATGTATATTAAAACGCAAGGACTGCTTGCTGCAACATCGTAGAAAGTGTGCAATTTAGAGAGACAGAAGGATAGATAGACGGGAGGATAACAGAATTGGATAGAGAATCCAGAAAGAAAAACAGAAAGCTATGCCCACTTAATAGTTAGCAAAGGAGGCAAAAACTCTTGGTTCTTAATACTAAATAACACTTGGTTAAGCACACTAGAAAGTATGGAACATGGCTGGCACATGTGTCTTGATCATGCCATGAAATTGGTGTTCTAGAACATAATATCAGATTGTAGTCTACTTGTATTTCTCTTTGGTGTGTACTATCAAAACATTGTTGATTCGTCCAAGTGTTTGTTGACACCTAATATCTGTTTGCCTCAGAAAAATTGCTGCTTACATCACTCACTTGGTTAGGATGCTCAGTGGTAACTTCCCAAACTGGAGATATCAGTGTGTCATCCATGGCCCAACCCCATCTCACTGTCCCAAACAAGATCCCACTGTGCAGCCCTTTCTGGCTGGGACTCATTACATAACATTATGCAAAATGTATCAGGAATAATGTCTTGAGGACATTGACTGATGTGTATAAACCATCATATTTGATTCAGAAAGAACATTCCTTATGATTGCTTCCCTCTAGTCAGTTCCTGTGAGAGTAATGGCTCTACTCCTCTATCCTGCAACTGCGGTATTTAAAAGTAGAGATTTGGAGAATGGGCTCTGACCTGCAGGTTTGCATTTCTATCCCTGACTTGGGGCTCAGACAGAAGATGTCATCACTTTCCATTTCCAGACAAATAAAGGAAGAGTCATAAACACCACTAACCTAAAATCTGTTAGACAATACAGCATAAGTAGTAGAAAGGAACACATTGAGGACTACAAATTCAGACACAGTAGCTCAGATTTTCTCCTGAGCATCCTTCTGTGCTCTTTCATATTTGCAAAGCACTGAAAGGGGGCTATAATTCTCACACAATTTAATATATTCATTACTCACAGGAAATCTGTGTCACTTCTGAATGGATCCACAGCTACTACACTTACATATACATGCTTACTTGCAACTTAAACATTATTTGGTATGTTTTTGAACTTCCATACATTTTTACAACTCTTGGAGAGTGAAATGTTATCCAAAACTTCTGAGAAGAATATCACCATAAGATTGTTATTTGTCTAATTTGCCTTATGCCTATATTTTAGTTAAATTTTAGATTATATCAAATGTGCTTGATGCAGATTTTTCTGTCTGCTTGGTAGTGGCCCAAATAGTCTCATAAAATTAATTACATGAACTATCTATCTCATATATTAATGTCGGCAGCATGCAGTGTTGTTATGCTCCTTGTTACTGAGGAAAAAAACCCAAAACCTCTACCCATGATGTCAGCCAATATGTCTGCCTTCCATACCTACCCATTTGCTATTTAATGGTGTGGCTTTGGACCTAGAGTTTAAACATCCCAACTGAGCCTGTTAGAATAGTCATGTAAGGCCCAAGTATACACAGGATTGATTTGTGTCAGTGTTTTAGCATGATCTACAGGTACAGCATTTAAAGCACATTCCTCATCATGAATTTTCCTCCTGAGACATGTCTGCTGTGATCCTATGTGACAGAAACACCGCATCCACAACAGATAGATAACCATGTCCAGACCTTAAATGTATTTCTTGTTTCTTGTATACTGCTTATAAGATGATTGTTTCACCCTGTTTTCACAGAGTTAGAAAATCCATTATAGAATGTGACTATGTTAAAGATCATCTTTTTGAATAATTGTTTTCACTCATCTACATCACTAATTTCCTTAAGTCTACTTATATCTAGAAAAGCACTTTGTCTGGTACCACTTGGTCATCTGTACTTTTTTGTTTGTTTCTTTTGGGGACCGGGTTTCTCTGTGTAACAGCCCTAGCTGTCCTGCAATCCACTTTGTAGACCAGGCTGGCCTCCAACTCACAGAGATCTGCCTGCCTCTGCTTCTTGAATGCTGGGATTAAAAGCGTGCACCACCACACCCAATTAAACTGTTTTTTTTTTTTTAATTGCAGGGTCTGTTGACATTCAGGGATGTGACTGTGGACTTCTCCCAGGAGGAGTGGGAATGCCTGGACTCTGCTCAGAGGGCTTTATACATTGATGTCATGTTGGAGAATTACAGCAACCTGGTCTCCGTGGGTGAGAACATTTTGCTTATAGAATTCCTAACCCAACTTTTGTTTGTTCTGACTTTATAGACTATAAAAGCTCTGATTAGCTATCTTGGAAACAACAGGAGACTAAGGAAAGTTTTTTAGTAGAAAAGAAGTTTTCTATGGTATCTGAAAGAATAAATCCTTTGATTCTTCAAAGTAAGCCTTTAATCTTAGAATTGGGTCTTCTGTACTCTTTCTTGCTGAATAAAAGCTAATTACTGACTCCATAATTAATTATTTCATCTTCCTTGTAGGATTTCATTCTGTTTTCTGAGAATCCATACAATTATATTGAGTGAAAATTGTGGGAGCTGTATTCTAAGTAGTTGATGGTTGACCTATGAGAGAATTTAGGGAGACAGTCATTTAGCAAATGTTTAATCTTGGGACAAGCCCTATTAACCTGAACTGTATTCATTTTCAGAGAACTATTGCATATGTGATCCTGTCCATCAACATGTGAATAATGAAAAGGAGTCTTGTCAGTGTAATGAGCTTGGCAAAGTGCTTCACGACCTCTCCAAATATGCACTTTTTAAAACAAGTGAAACTACAGAAAACTCTAATAACTACAGATGCAGTAACCACAGGGATGCCTCTAATGACTCATCAAACCCAAACAGACATGAAAGCATGCGCACTGGAGATGAACCTTGCAAATCTAAAGACTGTGAGAAATCTTTAAATTTGTGTTCCAACATGACTCAAGATCAGAGACTCTACACTGCAAAGAGGGAACACAGGCAGGGAGAAGATGATGACTATCTCACCTTTGCATACAGTCTTTTGCAACAAACAATTGGAAAGTCACCATACCGGTGTGGGAAATGTGGAAGATGCTTCAGTACTGCCTTGAGCCTCAGTGTATCCCAGAGAATTCATGCTGGAGAGAAGCCCCACAAGTGCAACATTTCTGACAAATCCTTTACCCATTACACAAATCTTGAAAGACATCAAAGATTCCATGCTGGAGAGAAGCCTTACAAATGCAGTGACTGTGACAGGTTCTTTGCCCACTATTCATCATTTAGAAGGCATCAGAAAATTCATTCTTTAGAGAAATTATACAAATGTAAAAAATGTGGTAAGTCCTATATTGAATTATCACACCTTAAAAGGCATTACAGGATCCACACTGGTGAGAAGCCTTATAAATGTGAGGTATGTGACAGATCCTTTAACCAGTGCTCAAGTCTGAAAACGCATCAAAGACTTCATACTGGTGAGAAACCTTACAAATGCAAAGATTGTGGAAAGTCATTTCCTCAGTTGTCAGCATTTAATAGCCATCAGAAATTGCATACTGGAGAGAAGCCTTACAAATGTATGGAATGTGACAAGTCTTTTGCCCACTGTTCCAGTTTCAGGAGACATCAGAAAACCCATACTGCTGAGGAACACTGCAGTTGTTCAGAATGTGGCAAGGTCTTTCATCAGCTTTCACACTTTAGAAGGCATTACAGAATCCATACTGGTGAGAAGCTTTACAAATGTAAGGTATGTGACAAATCCTTTACCCAGGACTCATACCTTAGAAGACATCGGAAAATTCATACTGGGGAGAAACCTTACAAATGTAAGGAATGTGACAAATCCTTTACCCAGGACTCAACCCTTAGAAGAC